CTAGCACCCTGGGACCCAAGTTCTTTGAAAGAGAAAGACATAAAAGTCTGAGGACCACTCCTGAAAGAGATAAAAACAAGTTGCTGATTCTGCCATTACCTGTCTCTGGGACCTTCTTAGTGACTCATTGTTTTTTATCTGTCAAAAAGGAAAGCAATGCTTTTAGCTTCTCAAAGTTATTGTGGTGATCAAATCAGTCTATTGAAAGCTCTTGGACTAGCTTAAAGTACTATAAAATGTGATTATTGTTAATGCCTGACATCATGTATACTAGATAACAATATAATGATAAATTAACTGTATGTTGGTGAACTGTCACCTAACCCCCATCCTAGCTCCCCCATCCCACTGTCTTCCTAAGAAGTAGGTTCCAACTTTCAAAATGAAGTGGGGAAAAATATTTTTAGGATATGCATTGATTTTCTATTGCTCTCATAACAAATTACCACAAACCTACTGACTTGAAAACAACACCAATTTATTATCTTACGGTTCTGAAAGTCAAAAGTCTGAAAGGGGTCTCACTGGGCTAAAATCAAGGTGTCCACAGGGCTGTGCTCCTTCTGGAGGCTCAAGGGGAGAATCGGTTTCCTTGTCTTTTCCCAGGCTGCTTGTGTTCCTTTTCTCATGGTCCCTTCCTCCATCATCAAAGCATACATCTCTCTGTGCCTTTTTTCTGTAGTCACATCTTCCTCTAACTTTCTTCTGCCTCTCTTCCACACTTAGGACCCTTCCAATCATAAGGACACTTGTGATTACATGAGGCCCACCCAGCTAATCCAGGATAATCTCCTTATTTCAAGGTCAGCCAATTAGCAACTTTAACTCCCCTTTGCCGTGTAACCTAACAGGTTCTAGAGATTAGGATATGAACATCTGTAGGGGGATATTATTCTGCCAACCACACTATATATTTTGTAAATATTCTATCTGGAAAGAACTTTGGCAAAAGCAAAAATAGAAAATCAAAATTCTTCCTAACTTCTTGGTCATAAAGTCTTCTGGTACTACTGGGTAATTCGTAGCAATATTCTTTTTCATGGGAAACCAGCAACACCTAGTGTCTCTCCAAATAAATTTCAACAGAAAACATAAAATGTCTTGTAATTAAAAAGGTAAAATAGAAGGTGCAGCTAAGTGACTGATGGTGGAGATAGGAAATTCTCACTAATCACAGAGGGAGAAGGCTGGTGATTCTCGCATCTATATGTTCTTTAGACTTAGTGTGAGTGCCCACATCCTTGCATACATCCAGAAGTATTTAAATTAATTCTGTTTTGGGCATAGCACCATACTGGGCTCTGTGATAGATGCAGAAAGATAAGAACCTGATCCTCATCCTCAAATTGCTTCCAGTTTTATTGGTCAGACGAGCCACACCCTGGTAATGAAAGCATATGTACACATTTACAAAACACTAAAGACTCAGTGGCCCAGTGTACCAGTTATAATTAGGCTCAGTTCTACGTACATCAAAACCCAAAAGAACACAGGCTCAAACAGCAGAGAAGTTTATTTCTTGCTCTTGTGAAAGAATTGGTGCTGCCACAATTTGGCAGTTCCTCAAAAATTTAAACATAGAGTTACCATATAACCTAGCCATTCTGCTCTTAGCCGTATGCCCAAGAGAATTGAAAACCTACTTCCATACAAAAACTTGTACACTAATGTTCATAATAGCATTATTCATAATAGCCAAAAAGTGGAAACAACCCAAATGTCCGTCAACTGATAAATGGATAAACAAAATCTGGTATATCCATACAGTGTAATATTATTCAACCATAAAAAAGAATGAAGTACTGACACATGCTACAACATGGAAGAACCTGGAAAACATTACGCTAAGTGACAGAAGCCAGACACAAAAGGGCACATATTGTATGATTCCGTTTATATGAAATGTCCAGAACAGGTAAATCCATAGAGAAAGAAAGCAGATTAGTAGTTGCTAGGGGCTGGGGAGTAGGGAGGGAAGAACGGGAGTGACTGCTAATGAGTAAAGAGTTTATTTTGGGGGTGATGAAAATGTTCTGGAATTAGATAGTGGTGATGGTTGAGCAGCTTTGTGCATATACTAAAAACCCTAAAACGATTGAATTGTGTACTTTAAATGGATAAATTATTTTGTATGTGAATTATATCTCAATAAAGTTATTAAAAAATACTAGGAGGATCAAGGAGACAAAAATGGGTGATGAATAATTAGAGGACATGAAGAAGAGATTGGAAAAGTACCACCTATTAATTTTTGCCTCCCTCTCCCCAGTTCCTTCTCCAGGCCTCAGAGGGGTTACCCCTTTCTTTCCCATGTATTAGGTCTCCTTTCTCTCTCTCTCCCCTACTACAATCAGCAGAATGTTCACTATGTGACACTGATCTGGCCCCAGACAAGGAGAGAGATGGACAATGTGCTGATGGAAATAGAGAATGCAATAGAATTCATGCCCCCTGACTCCTGAGGGTGTCCCCACAAAAAAGGCACCTCTGGTTCTGGGAAACAAATGTTCTTGGGGCTTCCCAGCCCTGATGGCACTGGGGAGGGGCTCTGTGAGCCTGATACAACCCTGTGACCCACCATGCAGTTTACCCATCTGTCTCGAGAATGAAGAATCTTGGCCTGGAGTGCCCAAAGGTGCCTGTGTCCCCACTCTCCACAGGGGGTGTGGACTAGCAGAATCTGTCCCTGCTCCCCTGGCTGGCCTTGCTCTGTGCCCCGGCTATTCACCCTCCCTCCAGCTCCACTGATAGCACAGTTCCTCATCAACACACATCCTGATGTCTACTTCACAGCCATGTGGCTTTATTTTTGATTTGTTTCCCGTTTCTCTTCTTGTGCTGTACAAACCAAGGTACTTTTTCTTACAGGACGAGATACCACTCCACACACCCCTATAAGAGTCATTTCACCTGTTCTAATGGAACTTTGTCAACAGTGCAGATTGGATCAGGCTCCATGTGTTACCCTGTGTGACTCGCGTCTCCCCTATGACCTTCCTCCCATGTGCATGGGTTCCCGGGGTCTAGGTAGTGTGGAGCTGCATGGAGGTTGAGTCCGAGATGGCAGAGCCATTGTAAAACATAGTGTCCCAGCTGTCACAGCCAGGAGAAGAGGAAAGAGACACGATGACTAAATGTAATATGGTATCCAAAATGGGATCTTGGATCAGAAAAAGGACATTAGGTAAAAACTAAGAAAATATGAATAAAGTATAGGCTTTTGCTAATAATAATATATCAATATTGGTTCATTAATTGTGACAAGTGTGCCATACTAATGTAAGATGCTTATCGTAGGGAAAACTGGGTCTGGAGTATGTGGGAACACTTTGTATCATCTTTTAAAACTTTCTGTACATCTAAAATTATTCTAAAATTAAAACTTTATTAAATCTCCCCCAAATATAGTGTCCCCACCCCCATCAGAGCATTCAGCTCTGGCCTGGCCCAACTATTTTATTTTATTTTATTTGTGAGGAGGATTGGCCCTGAGCTAACATCTATTGCCAGTCTTCCTGTATTTTGTATGTGGGATGCTGCCACAGCGTGGCTTGATGAGTAGTGTGTACATCCACGCCCAGGATCCGAAGCCGTGAACCCTGGGCAGCCAAAGTGGAGCATGCGAACTTAACCACATGCGAAATTAACCACTATGCCCCCGGGCTGGCCCTGGCCTGACTATTTTAAAAGAAGAGTGTCATCCAATATGCCTCCTTTGAAGAGTAGTTATCAGATACCACCTGTACCATCAGGACAGCCTGGAAAATTCCATTTACGTGTCTATAAAAGACAGAATTTTGAAGTCCTTGATGAGTGGATAGGAAGAGGAGAGCACCGGAGCAGAGGTGCACATTCTGGTCCTAGGGCGAGTGAGGCCTTCAAGGACAATGAGTGACAGTGAGTGAGCCTGTGGTAACCTTGGGCCACGTCCAAATGGCTGTTAGGGAAGGATCAGTCTGTGAAGGTAGTTAAGGTAAGTTTTGCATTCAGGGCAGAGCCAAATGTCGGGATCTGAAAGTGTAGCCAGCCTTTGTGCCAAACTCGAGAGTTTAGTCTGAGAATGAGCAGGGGCTGAGGGTGTATAATCCATGAAACTGGGTCAATCAGGAGTGGATTCAGGGGCCCTGGGTTCCTGGGCCTCTGTTTGTGTGCACAATGGGCCAGCACACTTCTCATGACAGACTGTTAAAGTCAGAGAGCCTGACCAGACAGGATTCCAGACAGTTCCAGTAGTCTGGAACTACTGCCCACCCCTCCATGGGGCACTGTTGAAGAAAAAGCGGATTGAAGAGGAGGGAAGAGAAATGACTTAGCAGCCTGTCCTGTTCAAGCTGTGACTGGTTTTCCTAGAGAGGTGCTTACATATTCAAGGTAATGGCCTGAATAGTGTCCCCCAAAATTCATGTCAACCTGGAACCTCAGAATAGACCTTATTTGGAAATAGGGTCTTCGCAGATGTAGTTAGTTAAGATGTGGTTGTACTGGATTCAAGTGGGCCTTAATCCAATGACTGTTGTCTTTATAAGAAGAGGAGGAGACCCACAGACACAGAGAGGAAAGAAAGCCATGTGAAGCTGGAGGCAGAGATTGGAGTGATGCAGCTACAAGCCAAGAAACACCAAGGATTTCTGGGAACCACCAAAAGGTAGGAAGAGCAAGGAGGATTCTTCCCTAGACCCTTTAGGGGGAACATGACCCTGCCGACACCTTGATTTTGGACTTCTAGCCTCCAGAACTGTGAGAGAATAAATGTGCATTGTTTTAAGCCACCTAGTTTGTGGCACTTTGTTATGGAAGCCTGAGAAAATGAATACATTTGGTGGGGATGATGCTGGGAGGGTGTGCAGTACCCAGCTACACATGTGCCTTGGAGGGCCTGGGGCAATGGGGATTCCTGGTCTCTGGAAGATCTGACGCCTGGAGCTGGAGCCTCATACTTGTTAGCCCCAACATGGCTCAAAAATTAATTAATAATTAGTATAGGTGATAAAATGGGTTACCTCTTACCTTCTACTCCCACAGCGAAAGCTCCTCCAGGTAAGATTTCTTTGTGAAATCCTTGTCTGATTACCTGAAGGAAACAAAAGTTGTAGACTCCTCCTCCAAAGTTTGCCCCATGGTTCCATGGGATGTGCCCACTCTTTCTTCTTCTCTGGAGGTTACCTTTCCTGCACTTCCAAACAGAAGAGCCTCTCTTTTCAGATCCTTGATCTGCTGGATCATTGTGGCCTCTGACACTGTGAACCATCCCTTCCTGTAACTTCTCTCCTAGGGAACAATGCCTCTTTCTTCTTTCTCCTGTGACTTTCTTTCTTCTTACCTCTGTGACTTGTCTCTTCTTCCTCTACCCATTAGAAAATGCTGCTGCTCACTTGGTTTCTATAGTTAATTTTCTCTTACCACTCTAAAACTCTCTTGGGTGACCATCCAGTTTCCTTGCTTTAATTGCCACCACCATGTAACTCCCAAATCTGTGTTCCAGTTGAGAGCTCATCCTTGAGCTGCAGCTTCATAGAGCCAACACAGAATTTCCACTGAACGCACAGGCACTTCAGACTCTGTGCATTCCAAGCCCTGTATTGATTCATCTCTTCCTCAGCTAGAATCACAGATTCCCTTCTTTCAAAAGAAAGAATTCATGCAGAATTTTTAATTAAGATTTAAAGATAGTATTGAGCGGTTTTGGATGAAGTAAACACACACACATACAGAATTATGGTTGGTGACAGTATAGGAATTATCCAATCAATAGACTATCAAAGTTTGTCTGTGCCAACATTTAGTATGATACAAGGGAATTTTAGGACACAAAATATACATTTAAGGAAATTATAGGCAAAAGTATAATGCATCTAATAATTCTTTCCAGCTATTTGAGTATCTCCCCTGTCCAGTTCTCAGCCCTGACATAGGGGCTACTCTTCTTTGTCACTTTGTTTTGTCCTCAGGCCAGGCTGAACCCTTTGAAATCTCTAAGTAGATGGAAAAGTAGACTGTTCCTGTCTCCATCCTGCACTGTGCAGGTAGGTTCTGCCCTTCCTCTCTGTAATGACACCCTCCTGGCCTTGCTCTTGGTACCCTCCAGTGGGCTGATGAGCCTAGAACCTCCTGTGTGACCCACAGTCCTGAGTCCTGTGACTTAAGGCCATCACACTTCTACTTCCACCCCCTTGCTGCTCACGTTAACTGCCTTGGGTCAGAGTCCAGGCCAGCAAACACCTCCATGAAATCATAAGAAAGATCAAAAGTCTGCAATGGTCGAAGGGCCATTTTTTTTTTTTTAAACTTAAAATGTTTATGGATCCAGAAGTGGGCTGGGGAATTGAGAGGTGGGATGGGAACTCACATAATAAAATTTATTTCCAAATGTGGTGTAAAATGATCTAATTCCAGCATTTCATTGCTTACAATGTTAAACTTCTGACACTGGAGGCTCAGGAACGTACTGATGAAGATGCTCGGATGGATAACACTGGCAATTTCCCTGGTATATTAACACACGGTTTGTCTTTTAGACATCCAGTAATGATTAGAAGTGTGCCCCTAAGCAGCTTTGGGCTCAGCTCTGGCACTCATGTCTTAATTAGGTGGGTTTTGACTCATCATTATTTAGTTACCCATTTTTTCTTAAAAGAGTGCTTCAGTTGTTTTATGCAATTAGAAGGAGGAAGCTCACAAAAGTCATTACATTACAGAAGAGATGTGACAGACAAGTCCATTAACTCTATATTACTGTGCAAATCCCCGCAGTAATTAGGGACTTACATAAACAGCACAGCTTAAATGATTTAGTTGACAATCCCTAATAACAACGCCAGCAGTGTGGTGCACTTGATTCTTCATAAAAGCAAAAGTGATTAGTTTGCTATATAATCTAATCATCAGAAAAATGTAATTCCCATAACAAAATTTCTTATTACTGCCTTGTAAAAGGGCAGATTAAAGGCAGAATTCTGACACATCAAATTGTACTGCAGCATGAAGCCAAAATAAGTCTTTCCTCCACTAGAGGGCTGGTGCCCATGCTGTCTCCGGGAGTCCTCTCCTTAGGTGGCAGGCAATGTGGACGGAGTTGGGCAGAACCGCATTTTCGGCAAGTTCTTATTTTTTCACTACCTGGATGAATTCTAGGAATAAAGGCTGCAGAAGACAATTCTTTCAGGAGAGGAGTGGTTCTAGAAAGATGAATGAGGTTCACATGAGAGATTTGAGGGGATTTTAAAATTTTCATGGGGCAAAAAATTTAACTTAAGCATTTATCAGGCATCTTGGATGTGTGAAGATGTGGGCCAGATGCTGGAGGCAAAGGCAGTGAGACACTGCTTCTGGCCTTAAGGAGCTTCTTTCTAAGCCTGAACCTTTCACTGCTGTCCAATTCTCCTGGGCACTTGATCACCTGCTGTAAGTTAGGCGTGGTCATGTCCCTTGCTTTGACCTAGAGGAACGCTTGTGTGATTCCCCCACTTCTCATCCCCCTCCCAACAAATTACCAGTGAGTTTTCTTTTTAATTGCATCAAATCTAACCCACCCTGACTATCACAGAATGTTAGAGTTCCTACCACACCTGGTGGTGGACAGTTAATGAGATGACAGATGCAAAGGCGCCGTGGTTGGTATGGAATAAATACCGTGAAGGGTATTTTTCTTCCCCCTTTTCCCTTTTAAGATCTCATGAAAAATGTGAATTCTTGTTTCTCAAAAGAAAGCTGAATCTGTGTGTATTTTTACTACAGCAGTGTCTAGAGATGTTTACACAAGAGATTTCTTCATTTGAGGCTTGGGTAATGGCAGGTATGATTTTACAGTTACAATACGTGATGGAGTCTGCTAATTGTCTCCCAATATTTATTTTCCTCTTCTCCCTTAGGACTAGCATCTCCATATTTGAGTTGCACATTGTGCCTCAAGCTAAAAGACATTTGCCAAGCTCCCTTGCAGCTATGCAAAACCATGTGACTACTAGACAATGAGATGTTAAAAGGAAGTGTCGTGTGGGATTTCTGTGAAGGCTCCTTTTAAGGGAGGGAGGGAGTACCCCTGTCTTTTTCTTTGCTCCATTCTGCTGCCTGGGATGTAGATGCAGTGGCTGAAGTGCTAGTAGCCCTCTTGGACCATGAGGATGAGGGCCCCACATAATGGATATTGAGAATGAGCTGGAAGGCACTTGGGTCCTGGGTTACTTGGTGGAGTGACATACAAGTCATGGACTGTCTATTTCTGGATTTCTTCTAGATGAAAGAAAAATAAATTTCCAATTGTTTAAGCTACTGGTTTTTAAATTTTAATTTAATTCAATCAATTAATTATTTTTGATTGTGGTAAAAAAATAGCATAAACTTTACCATCTGAACCATTTTTAAGTGTACAGTTCAGTAGTGTTAACTATATTCGCATAAACTGCTACTGTTTTCAGTTTTTTACTTACATGCAGTCAGACCTAATCCTAACTAAAACACAGTAGAAACCCTTTTAACTGACCTCCAGTTAACTAACTTGTTCAATTAAGGACAGTCTCCGTTTCCCCAGTGAAGTGTACTGGTTGTTGCCCATCACATGGATGCTCCTGGCTACCCATCTGTTCTCGAGGACAGAGGTTCTCAAACGTGCGTGTGCATCAGAATCCCCTGGAGGACTTGTTAAGACAGATTACTGGATTCTACTCCCAGAGTTTCTGACTCAGTAGGTCTGGAGTGGGGCCTGAGAATTTTGCATTTCTAACCAGTTCCCAGGGGACACTGATGCTTCTGGTCTGGGGACACACTTTGAGAACCCGTGATCTAAGGACACCACAGTCCTGTCCCTATCAGCGGAGTGGAATGTTACCAGGAATCAATTGTTTGTCCTCAAACCTGTTTATATGTATTGTACTCTTGATTGTCTTTATAATTGTAATGATGTAAACCTGTTTATAAGTAATGTACTTGTGATTGTAATTTAATTAAATATTACATAAATATATGAAAAAGTAGTTGAAAAAAGAATCATTACTATGAAACTAAGCTGAGTGCTTTGAACGACTTAATATAGGTACTCACTAAAATAATGTCACCAACTTAGGTTTGGTGGGGCAACTGTTAAGGATCAGAAAAAAAATCTATAAAAATTTGGAGGAATTATGCATTCAAATTGCTTTAAAAGGGTCTTTATTTTTTTTTTATAATTTTATTTATTTATTTATTCTCCCAAAGCCCCAGCAGATAGTTGTATGTCATAGCTGCACATCCTTCTAGTTGCTCTATGTGGGGCGTGGCCTCAGCATGGCTGGAGAAGCGGTGCGTTGGTGCGCGCCCGGGACCTGAACCCAGGCCGCCAGCAGCGGAGCGCGTGCACTTAACCGCTAAGCCACAGGGCTGGCCCTAAAAGGGTCTTTAAATTATTGTTTTACTTTAAATAAATGAAGTCTATAAATTGTAAAGGATGTGTTATGGCTGTGATTTAGTCAATAGAGACAAAACAGGACTTCAATCTGTGGATCCAGTCTTCAAAAAAGAAACTTGGAAATTGACAAATGAATGCATGCTTAAAACATTTTAAATTAAAATAACATTCTAAATTAAAGTAAAATGTTTAAGTCAAAATAAAACATTTAAAGTATGTTCCCTGCTTCCTTGCTTTTTCAGTTAACTGATTGTCCCAGCCTGGGTTCCCCAAAAGGCAGAGCCTGTGGAAATGGTGTATGTGCTATTGACTTGAATCGAGAATGCCGTCCAAGCAGGATGAAGAAAAGGGAGTGAGGCAAGGAAGGAGGGTGAGCTAATATGAAAACGCCAAACTGAGCTGGTCTGTGCTTGGAATCAAGTGTGGCTGATTTTTTGATCTTACGAGACTGTTTTCTGAGAGGCCGTATAAATGGCTGCTTTTCAGGCAGTGTGTCTAGAGTAAAGAGGGGAAGAATTTACTTACTGTCTCCCATCTCCCACTGGTTAAAAGCTTGCTCCATGGAGTGTTAGTTCCCTTGCCCTCCCATTTGGGCATGCTTGGGTACCAGGGCCCGCTTCTTGGGCACGTGACCAATGCAGTCACACAGGGCCCCGAGCTTAGAAGGGGGCCCTCTCTTGGGGTTTAATGCTCTGCAGTCGCTGTCTTGAAATTCTTAATAATTTTCTCTCCAAATGTGTGTTTTGTAAGTGAAGTCTGAGGGACAATGAAGCATGTGCTGGGGGACTTCGAGCTTCTGCTCACAAGTGGTCTCTTCTTTTCTCTGCCTCCGTCGGCGGGGTTCTCAGCAGCCTGATTCCCACCCTACTGCTGCCCTCTCCCCGCTGCGGGGACCCAGATTCGGGGCGTGGGGAGACCTGAATCAGGAACACGTGCTGTGTGCACTGAGGGATGGGGCCAGCCCTGGACGCTTGGGAGGGTCTGCCCTCACGCCATGAGTATCTCTGTGCCTGAGGGAGCGCAACATTAAATAGCAGAGAAAATATACCGTGACAGAGCAAGAGACAGACTGCGGAGAAAGGAAATGATTTTTTCCTGCTTTTAGAACATTAAAACCTCACATTTTCATTTTGTACTGGGCCCTGCAAATTATGCGGCTGGCCCTGATGGGCACTAAGGGGGTCTGGGTGTATCATGGCTTAGTGTCAGTAGGGATGCCCTGGGGCAGGGAGTAGGAGTGTGCAGTATGGGTACGGGGCAAGGAACTAAACCAGGTTTTCTCTGCCTGAAGTGAGTGAGAGGCCGCATGGAGGGGGTCATTTCATTTGCAGCTACATCTGGAACAAGTGTCCAAAGGCCCCGGGGACAGGGGAGGCCAAGAAGATCTGAACTGGAACATAAGAGGTGCTAATACAGTTCTCCCCTTGCATCTCTCAAATCGGCTCCGCCCTCCCTCCATATCTGGCTGTCACACTCTGTAATATGTGGCCTTCATTTTTGTGAAGTGAAGCTGTTTTTATGTCTTCCCTGGGAAAGGAGGTGTGAGTTCAATAATTCATGATGGTGAATTATGGCCAGCCATAATTTCTGAAAAGATTTAAGGTAAGAGAGTTAGCAAAATGGATTGTAGTCCCCAATGCTACAGCCATAATACATACTCATCATCTCTCTCCTCCACCACTTATTCTAGATTTCTGTCTTCCTTGGCCAACACTTTGGCTGGTCTGGTTTTCTTTACTGGTACAGTGACTTAGATCTTCATCCTTGAGGGATCTGAATCCTTAATTGCCTTAGCTTCGTCAGGCACTGGTTTCTCAACTGTCCATCCATTGTTATCACTAAGTATGGAAGCACCAAGAGATACTCCAGTAAGCCCCCTAGGTTTCAGAACTACTCCTTCCTGACCCCATTGTATAGCATCAATCCTAGCTTCTCATGGTAATTAGAAATAAACTCATGTATTTGCCTTTTGGTCTACTGGAATGAGGAGATGGAAGTGACCAAGTAGAAGTTGAGGCTTGAAGGTTAGTAGAAGTCTTACTGTGTTCTCTGGTGGAATTATCTTCACCCAGGATCAGGACTCCTAATGCAGTACAGCCTAAGGCTGAAGGAATAGGAAGCACCAATTCTGTGAGTGAGTCACTGGGAGTGATAATGAGAAGGGTTAATCCTACTTCCACATATTGGTTCTTGGTCTTGGGTAGTCTAGCTATTGGAGGCAAAGAACCATGTACTGCTTGTTGGTTTACTGCCTATACCATATACTGGAACAGAGCATAATAATCCAGCAACTTAAATGAATCCTAACAGGCCATGACACTGTCTATTAGCCTGAATGAAACATTCAGGCTAATAGACAAACCT